AAACACTCATTGCTTTCAAAAAGCTCACATTCTATCAGGGAAGGCAACATGTACATATTAGGTGTATGTAGAATACAAAACAAAGTTATTTAGGGAAGAATAGCATGAGTGTTTGAGGGGAGAGGTCAAGAAAGGCTTCATATGTTACCTAGAAGGGTGTGAGCTGTGTCCTGAAGAAGGTGAGAAGGTATGAAGGGTGTGTACTTCAGATGTGGATGACGTCCAAAGAGACGGAAGATGTAATGCCATATGTGGGTAGGTAGGTGATGTGGTGGATAAAGCACTGAGCCTGGAGTCAGGAAGACTCATCTTTATGAGTTCAGATCTGGCCTGACACTGGGGTCACCAAGAGTCGTACACGACTGAACCAATCAAACATGTGAGGAGCAGAGAAAGCCAGTTTGGTTGGATTGTAGTGGGGAAAGTAACACATGAGGCTGAAAAAACAGGTTGGAGCCAGATTTTGAAGGGCATTAAAAGCTAAACTGGAGTTTATATTTGATCTGAAAGCTAATAGTGAGCTGAAGTTTATTGAGTGGGGTTTGCTATACCTGTTTTTTAAGGAAAATCACTTTGGCAATAGTTGGGAGGTTGGATTGAAGGAAGAGATGAGGCAGAGAGGCTAGTATAGGTGATACGGGCATGAAAACTAAGGTGGTGACAGCATGAGTAGTGGATAAAATAGATATTATGGAGGTAAAAAAAATGTAAGATTTGGCAACTGATTGGACATCTCCCAATCCAGATCATAGTAGCTATTGTGTATCGTCTGGCAGATGAGGAAAAGTGAGGAATTATGAGGTTATAAGCTTGGGAGACTTGAAGGATAGTGGTGCATTTGACAAACATGTAATTCAGTAGGACTGATTTGGGAAGGAAAATTGAGTTGTTTTCGACATGTTGAATTTGAGATATCTATAGGACATCCAGTTTGAAACGTCCAATAGGCAGCTGGTGATGCAGTACTGGAGCTAGAGAGGTGTGGCTGGGTATATCGATCTGTGAGTTATCTGTAGAGATGCTAATTAAACTCACAAAAGCCCATAAGGCCTACACATATAGAGGCAGACAGAGCCTTGGGGTACACCTCAGTTAGAGGTTATAATATGAAATGGTAGTAAGGTGTTGGACAGCCAAGAGAATAGCATCACAGAAACTCAGAGAAAAGACTACCCAGGAGAAGGAGTTGGTCAACAGTCTCAAATATGATAAAGAAGTCAAGAAGAAAACTGAAAAGGGATTGATAAAGCTTAGGGAGACAGAAATGACAGATTATAAACTGAGGAATGCCAATTTTTACATCATGTTAGTGAAACATTTCTAGGTGATGGTGAAATTCAGGGTATGACCATCAATACATATAGCTGAAGTCCTATATGGAAGAGTTCTCAATTTAATTAAAATCCCACCTTCTACAGTAAGTCTTTCCTGGTCCCACTTAATGCTACTGACTTCAGAGATTACCTCCAATTTGCTCTGTATACATCTTGTTTGAACATAGTTGAGCATGTTGTTTCTCCCATCAGAATGTAAGCTCCTTAACAGCAAGATTGCTTAGTGCCTTTCTTTGTATCCCTAGCATTTCGTATAGTTTCTGGCACATAGCAGGTGCTTAATAAATGCTTGTTGACTGATGAGGTCATGGGATTTGAAGAGACTGAATAGGGAGATTAAGGTGTTCGAGGGAGTATTAACATGTATGTTGAAGTCCCCTAGCATATAAGGGCAGAAGACAACAAACCGAGTACTGTACTTTCTAAGAAAGGAGGAACGATCTGCAGGTCAATATACAACAGCCACCATGATCTGGATTCAGTGGTAAGTTTGTATAAAGTTCAAAGTAGAGGATATTGAATGACGGCAACAAAGAAAGGGTCAGCATGGTGGCGGTGGTAGAACTTTAGTTAGGACCAACTGGCTGGTGCTAAGATCAGGCCTCCTCTTTGTCCAACTGGGCAGGAAGGTAGGCGCTGGGACTAGGACCTCCTCCAGTAAGAAAGGCAACCAGTGACAAATTTTCAACTTTCTATTCAGATATCTTACTTACAATTTACAAGCAAAGTTCTTTCACATTTTCTTGGTATTTTTTATTCTTGGCACTCAAGACTTCATACTGCTTTCTCTTTATGTACTAAATTATCTACAAATATGCCCAATCAACTACTGTGTGGTGGGAATGAGATGGTCTGCCCTCAAAATTCATCAAGAAATTAATTTATGATCTGTGAAAATACAAAAAACTTAAGAATGGCAGCATCTCATACGTACCTCTCAAGGGCAAAACAAGCACTAGCCTCACTAGTTTTCATATGTGATTGAGTAAGCTCCTCTGATTATTAGCATGAGCTCTTTTCAAGTCGACACTATTAAAACATGTTACTAAGACTAGTAAGTTAAGTAAAACTCTAAGTCTTCAGGCACAGAGATTAAGATTATCCAAGGTGGCGCTACAAATTTATTTTTTGAAGAGCGTAAAATATACACAAAAGATATTTTCATCTGAACATTAATTGTATTCTAATGTGACCAGTACAACAAAGAGAAAAGAATAATTACAAGCACTTTTATATAGCACTGGAAATGCAATATTAATTTTGTAAAGTGCAAAGTTTGCTGCACAACATTGTAGAGAGATGATGGTAAGTTTTCTTTCTGGCCATGTGCTCGGAATACTGAATCATATTACATATGCTATATATTAATATCAGCTACAGACCCAGGCCAATTCTACCAAGATGGGCAGATGAAAACTCATCATATCAAAGAGTGCATATAGACATATATAATTAAAACAGAATTAAATAGTGCATGAAATCAAGTAACATTAAACTGATACAATGACTATAATATGTATATAGACATACACACATTATATATATATAACTTTAAAACTTTACTGTGAAAAATCATGATTTTGTTGCACATTAGGTATCTTATTAACTTAGTATAAGCATAAATATTCAATGTGAAATAGAACTTAAAATCCTAAGGAACTTGATTTGTAAAATTTCTCTTCTTAAAAAAGGGTGGGTGGCACAAGAACTGCCTATAGAATCAATGCTTTTAGTATAAGACAGTTACAAACGACCAGAACTGGCTTAAATCAGACATAGGGTGGAACACTAATACAAACAACATATATGCCTAACCTTCATGTAATCCCTTCACCTTTATTTTTAAAAAAATCTCTAAACATGATGTCGAAATTTTATGATAGAAGATTCTAGCTGTAAGTCAGCTTTAAACAGGACATTCATTTCCTACCCTTTACAAAGCTGCCAATCATTAACCTTGGTATTTACAATATCTTACAAAAAAGAAATGACACATACTGGATGTTATTTAATGTATGGGAAGAGGAATCATATAAAATGTTCAGTATGAAAACTGAAAAAAAAACCAGGGTGAAACGCACTAATACATAAAATACATGAAAAATTTCTATGTGCAGAGCACAGCAAATGTTAGTGTTAGGCTTGACTACCACAGTCAATGATATATGAAAGATTAACGTTTGATCAGTATGGCTTACATCAAACCTCTGGTAACTTTCTCAAAGTAAAACATACACAAACAGTTCAAAACCAAAAAGGCTACTGTAAATATATATAGTGATGCACCATTTAGTAAAGTGTCAAAACTGCAAAATAATCAAATGCTACAAAGGAAGGAATTAAACTAAATGATCCATTTCTAAGGTCATCTTCTAGATCTGAATTTCAACGACTGACACTTTATTTAAATATCATCAGTTAGTGTATCTAACATTGCTTTGCTTGGAGCTCTCTAATTTACAGACAATTCACCTTTTATCTAACTCCTTGCTCTCTCAGTCCTGCAATATCCTCTGGCAGAAAGCAACACAAAGGTCTAACAGGTCATGATGTCAGTCTTTCCAATATGCCCAACAGACCCATGGGCAGTCATCTGATTTCCTGACATACCTAAGGACCTCTGGGTTGTGTCATTCACTTTGCTGTAGCACCCTCAAGACTTCCAGCCCTTTCCTTCTGCTCTGCAGCAGAACTTTCTTTTTATATATTGTCTCCTTCACTAAGTGTGAGCTCCTTGAGAGTAAGGACTGTCTTTTTTTTTTACTTGCATCTTTAAAGGCGCTTAGCACAGTGCTCAATGGGTAGTAAGCATTTAATTCTTTTTATTCATTCATTCTGACAGGATATACAGACTACTATTGAAAGCCTTATGAAAAGAGAATATATTCAAGTCTGAAACCAACTGACTTGGACACTTCTTTGAAACAGAAATAAAAGGTAACCAGTGTAATTCCAAAGAGGTAGTTCCTTCAAGCTTCTAAAAATCTTCTGCATTATTGTATGGCATATGATTTCCAAGGGCTAATTTCTTCTTACCTTCTTTCATACAGATATATAAAGCTTGTTATACACAAATTAGTTCCTTAAGTCACATAAGCTCTCTAAAAAGGGATTTAAAATAAATATTCATTTCAAGAAAGAAGTAAAGCCTGTTTAGCTAACTAGAAATAAAATCAGACTTATCTTAAATGTTCTAACATGTACATTGCAATTCTAGTTTTAAAAATATTAATTTTAGGCAAATATGTATCAAGAAGCCTAACTGCTAATGATTTTCAGATTCTTCCATAATATGAAAGTTGTTTCACATGAGAAATAACATATGGCTTGGGAGTGTTACAGGTTTGTGCCATGATGCAATATAGCCATAAGGAAGTAAGAACTGTTTTTTCTTTGTGGACTCTTATCTGAATCTCTCCTCTAATTTCAATGACAGATGAGAAATGAAAACAAATCTTCTTGTGACAAGGAGAACCATGATTCTTTTTTATAATTTAATATATTAACCTGAAACCTATTACTAGAGTTCTCCAAAAAAACCTCTTCCCATATCTTCAAGTCAAAGTAAGGTCTATAAGAAGCTATTCTAGTGAACTGACTAAAGTGGAAACAAAGAAACAAAGCATTAAAAAAAACCCCACCCTACTAAAAAGCGAGCGTTGAAATAGTGAAGACCCATGAAAAAAAGCAAATTATTCTTCAGGCTCCTGAGGAATCACAAAAAATAATCCAGTCCCAGAGTTAACCCAATCCACTTAAAAGAGGAGCTTCCTGTTTCTATGGTCTTCTAGGAAATATGGCAGCCACTATCCTTCTGCGGTTTGATATCTGGTTCTTTGACTGGTTTCAATTCTTCCTCTGGTTTGGGTTTGGCCTAGAGGGAAGGACAAAGAGTTATGAATATCTGAGGCAAGGTTTAGGAATCTAAAATACATATAAATTTTTCTGAAGATAGCACATTTTTTTTTAATGTGACAATGTAAGTACTGGCAAAGTTGGTCAGACCACTACATATCTGATTTAGAAAGTATCATTTTTGCTGAAGAAGAAATTCTGGAATGGTACATTAGGTAATAGATCTGTCTGTATCATTTATCCTCATTCTTCGTGTGAGAAGGAAGGAAATAAAGGAGCCCTAACAACAACAATCACTAGCATTTATATAGCACTTTAAACTTTACAAAGAGCTTTACAAATATTATTTTATTTTATCCTCACAACCACTCTGGAAGTAGATGCTATTATTATCCCCATTTTACAGAGGAGAAAATTGAGGCAGACAGCAGTTCAGTGACTTGCCCAGGGTCACAGAGCTTGAAAGTATCTGAGGCAGGACTTGAATGACTCAGACCTTCCAGAATCTAGGCTCAGGGCTCTATCCACTGAGCCAATTAATTGCCTCCAAATACAAAAAGTTAAATAGTCCCTTCCCCTTAAAGAGCTCATAGTCTAGCCAGCTGCCATCAACAGAGAAATCTCAAGTTTGGAAGTAACAAATTCCTACATTACTTTGAGGTCATTAAAAATGCTTTATGTTGCAGCAAGCAAGTAGCTAACTAAGCAAAACAGAGAGAAGGCTATTTTACAGAGTTATTTTGACTGTGGCAAGAGTTTTAACTCAAACCCAAGAGAAGTAAAATGGTTATGAAATAACAAGGCATTCCTACTTCTATCTTTCACAGATCCCTAATAATCTTTCCCATAAATCTCTAATCATCTCATGCCAAAATTCAGTCTTTCCATTTACATTATCACCTTTATAAACCAAAATGCACTAAGGCTACTGAGAAATAAATGAATAGCAATACATTTTACACCTTGATTATTTCCTAGAATGCTAAAATTAAGACCATATCTTCAAATATTCAATGAAATGGTCAATGTAAAGTATGGAGCTCTATTGCAGAATCATATATTAATCTACTCCATTCTTTTAAGACATTTAAGATACCACTACCACCCTTGTGTCTGATGTTAAAGCACTGTTTACAGACTTTAAAAAAAAAAAAAGGTACTACTTTGAGAATATTTACTTCTAGGGATTTAGGAGCAAATATCTGGAAATTTTTCCAGAATGAAACAAATATTGCAGAGCCTTCCTGAATATTAGAATAGCTCCAAATGGAAAGCACTAAATTAGCTAATTTAATAGTCACTGCTCTCAAATAAACTTCTCTCTTTGCAAACAGAGAAAATAAAGATATTAAAATAACACTATAACCCTTATCTTAAATTTAAAAGAGAAATGGAAGAAATAAAATAGAATACAACTCATACATTATCATCCTTTGGCCTCTTGGTGAGATCAAATGCAGCTAGTGTTTCTGGTGTCCAGTGTGCATTTACAGGAGGAAATTCAAAGGGTACAGGCTCTACAAGACCATAGTTTGCTTTCAGTTCAAGTTGTGGTGTTTCTGTTGGAACTTTTTGGAAATAGCTATAAAAGAAAATTTAAACAACAATTTAATGCCAAGTTTCTCTTAAAAGAGACCAGGGATGCATAATGACCCATCTTAACCACTTCTCTTCACCTATTAACAATGAATCTTATGAGGATCAGCTGATTCCAAAAAGGATTATCCTCACCTAAATAGTTTACTGAGATAAAGTCAACTCCATGATAAGAATTTTTTCCCTGACACATAGTAGGCATCTAGTAAATGTTCCTTGACTTGTGATTGATACTGACTGCTGTGTTCCTTAGAGGTTCTTAGTAATATCAAGATGTTGTTTCCTAAAACCAGGCAAGCTGACAAGTTTTACTGTGTTAATTATTTTGTTCCAAAGGTTGTTAAAGGTTTTAGTTAGAATTTTCCTTTTTCTTTAAAAAAGCTCTATTGATAAATGAATATTTGCAAACAGGGAAAATAAAGATATTGATAAATGAATAGTTTCTAATGAGGATGGTAAAATAAACAAAGAAATGTTAATAGAAGTATATCCTCACTAGTCATCACTGATGAACATTAGCTAAATTTATTAGAAAAGAGTGATACATCAAAAATAGAGGCCAAGATAAAAACATTTTAGATGTGGCAAACTATAGTCAATATATAATTAAGTTGTTCTCCAGTTAATTCTAGAAGTGAGAAAGACTGTAGTGCTTTATGGATCATTCTTCATGATGTAAGTAGGGTTTTAAAAGCTGTTTAAATAAAGGGAGGGAGTCGGCCTGATAAGGCTGGGGAAGAGGAATGAGAGAAAAAAATGGTTTTCTACCTTTAGATAAGACACAAAGGCAGATATAAGATGACTGGAAAGGTGGATTAAATAGACGTCTGGGGGCATTCTAGTAAACAGAATTGCTATGTCCTCTCCCTTAGCTAAAATCATGTTACTTAAGGAACAGAACCATTTGAAGACGCAAAATACTTGGGTGTTACAAAATTTAAGCATTTTCAAAAGGAAAAAAAGGAATTAAGATAAAAATTAAGGTTACTTTATGTGCAAACACATTTTTATATAACCTAATTAAATAAAAAGAAAACAAAGATTCTGACACACAGACATCTACACTTACATGAATCCATTTTCTCTCTGACATTTTTCTAAAGTATTTTTCACTAGGCTTCCAAGTTTCCTAAAGAACAGATGTCCTGAAGGTTTCGCTGTTGTTCCAGGTCCTTTGGTTTCTCCATACTCTTTGCACAGGGCTTCGGCCTTGTCATAAACTGCACACAAAAAGGTAAAGTTTATTAGGTTACAGGTCATTGTTTCATGCTTACTCCCATTTACTTAGTGAAATAAAAAACAAGATTCCTAAGAACAGCGAAATGAGATACAAACTAAGAGCTGAAGAGCTATGGGTGTTAAACACTGCATTTATTTTTTGACTTGGTTGATGTGTGTGTCAGTCTTACAAAATACTTTTTCTCTTCTTTTTGGCTTGTTTTTTTAAATAAGGGGCAGTTCCCTGGGGATGGAATATATTTGGATATGACAGTGATATAAAAATAAAAAGTATCAATATATATTTTTTAAATTAGAAGCAAACTTCTCTTTATAAACTCTGGAAAATTCCCCTCCCAGGTCCCCATCTGCCCATTTGAAGGTCCCTTTATCTTCTTAAAAAAATAAAAAGCTAGCTTTTAAGGGAGTTATTATTCTGGCAGGAAAACTTACATTTTTCTGATTCCTGGAGAGACCTGATTGCTTCACCACATTTATCACTTGCCAGCAAAGTCTGACCATGATAGCAGTAAGCCTGGTGGAAGAAAAAACAAGATTTCCCATTTCTGTTTTCCCTAAATGGCATTTAACAACAGATATTACTTCTTTCACATTTCAAGTATGCCACATAAAAATGCCTTTCGCTATTACCTCACATACTAATTCCTTTTATGCTTTTTATTTCCTCTCAGAAATATTAGAAAAATTGTATTATCCCAGTAAAGGACTTGAATTGAATTAACTTAAAATTCTTTGTTTAGTAAAGACAAAAACACTAAAATATGTTACAAATATTGGAAGACTGGACTTTCTTACAAGTAAGAAGTAATGGGAGATACTTAGAAGAGTGGAAAGAACTCTGCTATCAAGGATTACTACAGAAATTTCCTTGGATGAAGTTTAGGATTAAAGATGGATTCTAAAATAAATCCAGAGAAGAAGATCAATGTCCATTACTTATTTAAAGTCTACTCCAACATTTTTTATCTAAAAAAAAAGACACATATAGTCTATTAGGTAAGTACAAAGGATCAAACCGAAAGAAAGGTTTTGAGCAGCTCATTACCAACCTAAGAAGGCTAAACTGGGTGATATGTCAAGCCTGGTTTTAATACTTTTAAATTTTATTAAAGAAATAATTAGAATGAAGGAACTGGGAGGACATTCATCAAGTCTGCAAAAGACACCAAACTGAAAATGGCCTTACAAACTCGTGAAAGATAGAAATCAAAGTAGTCTAAATAAATTAAGCCCATAAAAATGTTCAACAAGAATAAATCATATCTTACATATAATAGGAACTATATAAAACTTTTTGTTCAGTACCTAAAATATGGGCACACTAGAAGATTTTTTTTTACAATGGTTAGGTTTTCTAATCTATTTAGTACTAGTCAAGAATAAGAAATGTGTTAAGACAGAGGGTCTAAAGAAAAACCAAACAAAATGATGAAAGGAACAGAACATTAGGGTTTAAAAAAATGTTTATTTTAAAAACAAGAGTTGTAGTTATTCAGTTGGAAAAGAAAGCAAAGAATATCTTCAAGTACATCAAAAATTATTATATAAATATAATACTGAACTCTTTTCCATCTTGGCTTCAGTGAATCTGTAATCTCAGATGTCCATATTCTCTCCATCAGGACAAACTGTCACTTATCCAGGCCTTTCGATTCTACGTGATGTTTATTAATTTTATGCCACAGGTCAGTCACAGAAAATCTACCCAATGTTCTAAAGAACTTCTTTTAATCTTTAAACATTTCACAGGTATCAGTGCAGTACTCAGGATCTCCATGTGTTATCCTTTGCTCTCATTAAATGACTTGTCTAGCTCCTTCTCTGAATATGAATTTACTCAACAATTTCCAATACTCCAATCACACAGTTCTCCACTGTCCTTTGGGTGATTTGCAATTTTTAATCTTCAGAGCTTGGGGCACATAAGCTGCAATTATCTTCACTGTAGTCTTTTTTGCTTATATATGTTAACTATGAGCATGACAAGGCAAGATGAGTAAAAATGTTCCATGAAATGATTCTTCTTGCTGCCATTGGGAACAGAATGAAACTCATTCCATTAACTCTTCTGTTTACTTTTACAAGTTGACACTACAACCCGTCTATTACTTTAACCACAGCTTCCTTTTGTCTTCTGGTTTCATGTATCAACATTGGCATGGTTTATTTCTTCCAATAAATAGCATGTCAATTTTGTCGGTCAATGGACAAAGATCTCACATATAAAGTATCTACTGTTAAGTTACTACTCATAGATAGTCTAAAACTGGGATATTCTCCGCACCCTCTGCCCATTTTTCAACCATAATCACCACCATCAAAGCAGAAGGGTTTGCACCAAACTGAAGGTTATGATAAAAAAAAAAATTGTTCTCTCTCAGCCAATGTATCGATGATGAACCTTTCTGTACTTAAGACAACATTCTTGTTTGCTGATGAGTCTATTCTCAAAGCCTTTCCAGAACTGCAGACTCTAGGAAAGCTCATGCTTTGCTGGCATAGTCTTCAATAATTTAGGGTCTACCTCCACACCAAGATGGGGGCAATGGAGCAGGGCTTTGTAACTGTTTAACTTTAATAAGGGAAAGAGGCATAGGCTTAAACTTCAGTGAGAAGGGCTAAATAAAACAGGTTACCAAAGAAAGTTTTATAAGAAATGTCATACTGAGTCAGATCCATGCATTTTGATAAACAAGGGACATTGTGAGATGTCATGGAACAAAACCAGAGTTAAACCACTTAATTCTTTTAAATGGGATTTATACTTAGGAAATGAAATATTCAGAGAAATCTGTTCTCTGTAGAATAGGAATGTATTATATTTTTCTAGCTACGTTAAGAGTACAAATCTTTGAAATCTATGATTAGAAAATAGGGTGGAGTAAGATGTAGATGATCACATTCAGTTCGCTTTCCCTAGTCCGTGTCAAACTAAATGTTTGTACTAGACAATCATTAATGAACAGGTTAAGTAGTAATATCTTTTTGTTCTGAACCAGACCAGGAATTAATCAAATATTCTCACAAATAGCAAATGTGAATGCGGGAACAACATTTTAACATTATATAACGTTAAATAAATACTTACATAAGCTGTGTAAAAGCACATTTTCAAGTGAAGGTATTTCCTCCATTTAACAGTGTATGTAGGCTCCAAACTGGATAAAGTGTGATCTAAAATTACATTTATAAAACAAAACATAACTTCTCTGATTGACAAGAATCTTTGGTTTTCCTTTCTTCCAAAGAGTTCAAATACTATCACCATTCCAGTTTAAAAATTAAGACTGATTTGTAAACTTGAAACAAACCCTAAAACAATTCTTTTTCAGTGACAGCCAAGTTAGGCAGTGAGACCAATCACATGATGATAGTTTTCTCTTTTGAAGAGTGTGGACCAGGCAGTGAGGAGTTGGAAAGAACACTAGACTAGGAGTCAAAAGACCTTACTTCTGGAGCTGGATAATTCTGATACTACTTACTGCCCACGTAATATTGGGCAAATCATTTTTTACCTCCTTGAATTTAAGCTTCCTCATCTGAAAATAGAGATTAATACTTCCATGCTTATTAGGGTTGTAGTGAAATTCAAATTAGATAACAGATGTGAAAGGGCTCTGAAAACTTTAAATCATTATGCAAGCTATGGTCTTATCATTATCTAAAAGGAAAATAATGCAAGAAGATAGAAATACAAAATTCAGTGAAATCCAATATTGATTCCTAAAGCATAATAACTGTCTTTTAATTTTGCCAATTTAATTGAACTCAACATTTCTTAAGCATCTACCATGTGAAAGGTCCAAAAATAAAATCAACACTTGTGAAATGACAAAAAACATTGGTGAAAAGAATACTAAACCAGCAGTCATAACACTATGTTCCTGTCCTAGTTCCAATACTTTCGCTAGCACTGTAACCTCAATCAGGTATGCTAGGACTTATTCTGCCTCTGGACAACTAGCTGCTGGCTCATCACATAGATGTAAAACACCCCAATAGAGGAAGTACTGAACAGAAGACCCTGAGTGAATGTTAGCGTATCCATTCTTCCCATACTGAGAGTCTGGAAATTGACAAGGGAGAATTCAGAGTTATACCAGCAATTTAGGTAATGAACAAACAAACCTTGTACCACCTAGGGAAACTTGGTTGTACTACTGATTGCCTTTCTCCCCTGCCCCCCTCAGTTCAGGTTCTTTTTTAGGTAGGTGTTTGCATGTGTGTGTAGGTATATCCAAAAACACCATTTCCTCTTCTCCTCTGACTCAGCTCGCCCTAAGAAGGAGTAAGCAAAAATCATAGGAGCATGGGTTTAGAACTATATAGGACCTTAGAAGCAATGGAAGAATGCAAAAAGAATGGAAGAAGGCAACTGAAGTTAACATCCCTTCAAGATAGTGAGAGCTGTATTCATTTCCCACTTCTTAACTTATCCTTATGGCTAACAAACCCCCACCTGTTTCTCTATTCTTGTAAATACTCAATCATCCATCACCTAGGTACAGGCTCTCTTCAACCTCCCAACCTCCTTTTTTCTCATGCCCACCCTACTCATACTCCAACCCTACACCACCCATGTCCCACTCTAATCCTGCTCACTCCCTTGCACTACACATCCTCCAAAATTACTGTTCCATAGTGAATAAACTTCCTTTCATTCTGGTCGTCTTTCTCTAATACTCCTACAATTTACTTGCCCTCAAAGAGACCAGTCTTCCCCCAGAGGACCCTACATCCTTGGTCAACATTTCCAACATTATATCTTCACTCAAACCCCAGACACACTGGTCTTGGAAGGAGAGTTAAAATACTCCTTGCTCTCCTCTGCTTTCACTTTGCCACCATCACACAGCAACACCTCCTCCTCTATTAAAATCATGGTGGCTTTGTCTACTGGTCCTCAGGTCATTCTCTCTCCTTTCCCAAGGAATTTAGCAACTATGCAATTGTCTACAAATTTATGTCATAAAATCTCAAATGGGACCTCAATTCTGTAAGGCAATCCTTATCAACTCACTATTCCATGCTCCAAAGAAAATATTCATAAACTCTTAAAAAGTTGCTAAAACTTGGCTGTTTCTACATCCTTAACATCCTTTGCACTGACTATTCTCTTTACTCACAAAGCAGTTAAGTCCTTCTTCATTTCTCACCTAGATTTGTACGAAGGCCTCCTAATTGGTCTCTTTTTTTTTTTTCCCCAGCCAAAGACAAGGTTTATTAGAACATCATGTTGGGCAGACTCTTAAGGAGTCTGAATGTTAGTGAGCTATTGGCTAGATTTTAAGAATCTGAGCCCTGGTCTCCCTTTCTTAAAGCTCTCCCCCTTCTAATCCATGCACCACTCTACTACCAAAAGGACTTTCTATCAGCACAGATTTGACCACGTTAGTGTCTTACTTGATTAACCCTGGTTTACTGAGTAAAGTTATTACAGGGAATAAACTCCCAATTACTTTTAGGATCAAATATAAACTCCTACATTTAACTTTTAAAGCCCTTCACAAGCTGGCCTGCCCAACTTTCTGGCCTCAGTGTATATCATGGTCTTTTGGACTCTGTGATCCAGCCAAAATGGCCTTCACTCTGCTTCCCTCACGTGATTCTCCATTTCCCATCTCTGTGCTTTTGCAATGACCCCCCCCCCACCTCTGCCTCAAGAGAATCGCTCTCTTCCCCAGCTCGAGCAACATTTTCTACATGATGTCCTTCCTGATCCTCTTCAAATGTTGGTTCTCTCCCTCTCTATTTAGGCACCTAAAGGCAGCTAAATGGGAGAGTAAATAGTGTTGGGCCTGGATTCAGGAAGACCCGAGTTCAAATTCAGCCTCAGACTAAGCTGTGTGACTCTGGGCAAGTCACCTAATCTGTCTCAGTTTCCTCAACTATAAAATGGGGGTATTTTGCAGGGTTCTTGCTAAATGAGATACCTGTAATGCACTTAGCAGTGTCTGGCACATACAGATAGGCACTATATAAATGTTTATCTCTTGCGTCTCTCATATTTATCTGCTTTGTATTTTTTTTTATATTTATTCTGTATATATTCAATGTTCCACACAGATTTGTCTTCCATGTTAAAATGTAAGCTCCTTGAGAGTAAGAATTGGTTCAATCTTTGTATTCTCAGTGCCTGAATACATAGGAGGTACTTAATAAATAATTATTGGCTGATTAAAACTTTGGCACATTTGTTAATTTTATGAGCCCCTAACCGAAAACTCCTATATGAACAAGCCCAAAATCAGCCAAGGGATGAGTCAGAATCTCTTTTGACTTCTCCAACTGCCTTCAACCAATTATAATAATCAAAAATCCTAAAGCCTAGATCTGTGAGTGAAGACATCAGATAACATGTTGTTTCCCCATCAATCACTACCCTGGAATCCATGAAGAACAAAGGAGAATCTAAAATACATTAGAAATGGGACTTTTCCTGTACCACAGGAAAAAAATGGGAATCGTGCTATGTACCACTACCCCAATCAGGATGCAGATCTGGGGGACTGCAGTATACCTCCCATGCCTAGGCTTCCTCTGGCCTCAATTACCTATTAATTTAATACATTTCATTTGGACATGTGGGTCTTACACATGGGTTTTCTCCTTTTCTCTCCCTAGTGAGACATGCTGATTTACTATGTAATCACTCATTAGAACAGGTCTTTGCCATCAAATGTAGGAATCAAAATGGATAGGAGAAACAGATCTAGTTTTGTTCTCATTTTAAAACTCCTACAACTCACACAAACAGCCCTTTTTCAAACTGCTTCAGTGACTCCAATTCATCTGAGCCCAATTAGTGAGACTAATCCAGTAAGTCATTTAACTTCTCTGGATCAGTTTCACCACCTGCAAAATAAGGCTGACACATGCTTTAGCCACCTTACACTGCTAGGAAGAGAATCCACGGAGAATGACTATGAGAGCAATTTGGAAAGTGTTTAACCCTGTACAGAGATACTATTGGAAAGAGTTTAGCATTTCCCTTTCCATTGAGATAAAAATTCCATTTCCTTTTACAGGAGCATTTCTTGCTTCTTAACTGTGAACAGCTTCATTTTATCACATTTTACTTTCAAGCACATGAATCTACATGGAAACCTGTCTGATGAATGGCTTACAACAGTTGTTCCCCTAATTAAATCAGTGGAAGAAAAACTTGGACACCTGATGGGTAAGAAGCACAATAATGGACTTAGAACTCACCAGCTCTCTGATAGAAATTGGCTGTTTCATATGCCAGCGCAGCAATTAGACCTGGATTATGTTTGAGTTCAATTGCTCGAGCAATTGTAACTGAAAAAGAAAAAAATGTACCCCATATTAAGAACATTAAGAATTGCAACAGAATACAAGTTCAATTTGGATACATGGTAAGAACAGAAATGTACGTCTGTGTCACTAAAGTTTTAAGATGAGAATAAGAATCTGTTACATAACAACTATGATGTGAGAAATGTAAATTACTGAAAATAAAAGCACCAGCATGCAGAAATTGCTGAGCTCAGTAGTAGAGCCAAATCCCTCAAATGTTCTAAGAAATGTAATTTCTTGCATTAAGTAACAACTATGAGACATACCAAGACCTATTCCTATGAAAGGATTAAGAATGGATCAAGAAAGCCCCTAAGACAAGCTCTAGCCCTCATAGCTCATATGCTATGCTTCTGTGTAGGCATATCTAGAGACCACAGGGAAAAGCAGATGCATAGAGCAGAAATGGAGGGAGGAGAAAAGGAGTGCAAATAAGAAAAGGGAGGGCATGGTTTTTCACTCTTTCAGAAGAAGTGGGATAAAGTCAAAGACCTTCCTCAAAAGAACTACAAGTCTTTCATTTTCTGTAGCCAAAAGAGAGTCTTGCTAGAAACTAATAAGGCCAAAAGCTATTGAAAATTTTTTAAAAAATTGCTTTTTGACTACAGATCTTTCAGAACCAGTTATCTTCTGGACAATGTAGCTGAATTGCAAAATAAATGTACTTGTAGAAAATTAATTTCTCAGAAATTCAATGCTACATTGTGACATTTGGGAATACCTTCTTGAGCTTCAGCTTGACATTGAATAATGTAGGAATCTATGAGTCGAACTTCCAAATCCCTGCCTTTTTCTGCAGGTGTGATAAGTTTGGGAATATGGTTTTCCTAAGAGAGAGCAAAATAAATGCCAAATTTTATTTTAACTCAAATTATTCTGTTTAATGTTATATTTAAATATTTTAAGTGAATGATACTTCTAAAAGTTGAGGTGAAACATTCAATTTGGGGCTTTGCTAGAAATTTCAAGGGCAAATTAAAGTTGTGCTAAATAGAGCAGCTGTAATGGCAAAAACACAAAGAATTACAAGAGCTTCACATACCATATACTAGTAGAACAGCAATTATAGCCACAGATAATTTTTGGTTCAAATCAAGGGGGTATTATGAAATGTTTATGTATGTAATTCATACCTTTTGGAAAACATTTAGCCAAAATGCTTAATAGATAAACCATAACCAAGTTATCTTTTGTATGTTATCCTGAACTATACTTTCAGACAATTAAGAAAACTGAATGTACAAAAAAATGCACCTAAAAGAGAATCATGAAAAATACCACATACAATTAGAGCTTTTATCCCTGCAATAACATCTCATACCAAGAATATAAATGAGAGATCACCTTTATATAAGAGGGTTTTAATGTTTAGAAAGAACACTTTCCTCACAACAAACTTACAAAATAGCTACTGTAAATAATATAACCATATTGCAGATAGAATATAATAAACATTTATTAAAGGTCTGCTGTGTACAAAGCATAATTTTAGGCACTGGGGGAAGATACAAATTTTGGATAAAACACTGTCCATGCCTTCCTGGAGAATGAAGTCTAATAATAAGGATAAAATGTAAACATATAGCTATAATGCATGACAATTGCATCAGAAAGCTTTCAGGGATCTGAAGCTCTCTGACACCAAGAAATTTGAAAGAGCAAAGCTATAAGTACTGAACGTTTTGGCTCTAAATGAACCAGAAACGAAGGGCACGTTTCCATTTTTTTCCATCTCCACCCAACTAGGAGCAATTAAAACAATACATTACGATTAAAGATATTCTATTTGTTAAATTCACATTTCACTACAAGGCAAAAGATAGGTAGCTATGCAATAGTAAAATAAAGGACCAATTACTACTATATCTAAAATAACAAAACAAACTTCTTGGATCTCATCACTGAAATTTTGAAAGTTTCAAAAAGTGACAAAACTATCAAAAGCAAAGATATATTTTGGTACCTTCAAATGTTTGAAAATCCCAGCTGCAATTTTTAAGCTTTTATGAACTTCTTTTGCTTCATCTTCTGTTATGCTAAAATATAATGACACCAGTCATACTAATTCTTTTTAGTTTTCAAAGAATATTTTTTTATCAATAAAAATTATTTACGGAAATTCTGGCCCTGTTCTTTTTGTAAATTCAATATTAACACTGCATATTATGGCCTAACATTTCACTCATTAGCATTTAAAACATCTCTATTCGGAAATAATCTGCGTAGTTTAACAAGAAAGCATTACAGATCCTGAAAATAACATTGGCTATGTTAAAGTTAATAATATATATAGACATTTGCACATATTCTTTGCCCCTTCTGTTCACACTTACTTTTCTTTTCCAGCCAATCTTGATGCATATTTGGTATACCATAAAGCTACATTAAAAGCCATGGAAATCAATTCAAACACAGCATCTTGCTGGGCACTAAAATTAAACACACTTTCATTAATTTGGTCATCTCATATATATCAAGTTTATCCATATAAAACATTAGGATCAATATGATTACTTAGTATACTATCAATCAACAGATATTTATTTTGAATGTCTACTAGGTATTATAGGTGAGAGAAAAATTACAGTATGATCTTCAAATACCATATAGCCTAGTTGGGAAGATAAGACAACTATACATGAAAATATATACTAAATGCCAATCAATCAACAAGCATTTATTCAATACCTACTATATTCTGGGTACTGTGCTAGGCAGCGGGGACACAAAACCACAAAAAGAAAATCTCTGCCCTCAAAGAGTTTCCATTCTGTCAGAAGCAACAAGTACACATGTAAATACATTCAAATAAAAATAAAATAAATATGAGGTAAATGGAGGAATTAGCAGCTGAAAAAACCAAGAAAGGCCTCATGTAGCAGGTAGTGTTTGCCATCTAACTGGCCAAAGGGAACAGCAAAAAGACCAGTTTGGCTGGACCAAAGAATGCATGAAAGAGAGTAATATATAAAAAGGCAGGGAAGGAAGATTGAGTCAGATTGTAAAGGACTTCAAAATGCCAAAGGAGTTGGTATTTGATCCTAGACAAAGCCACTGAAGTTAATTTGAAGTGACATAGTCAGACTTCTCCTGTAGAAATATCATTTTGGGGGCAGCTAGGTGGCGCAGTGGATAGAGCACCGGCCCTGAAGTCAGGAGATCCTGAGTTCAAATCTGGCCTCAGACCAAACACTTGACACTTACTAGCTGTGTGACCCTGGGCAAGTCACTTAACCCCAACTGCCTAAAAAAAAAAAAGAAAAAAAAAGAAATATCATTTTGGAAGTTATGTGGAGAATGGAAAATGGACTGGAAGGGAAAAGACTTCAGCCAGGGAGACCAGCAAGGGTGATGAAAAATACTCTATATGGTCTAGGAGAAAAGTGATGAGGGCCTGAACTGGGGGTTGGGGGTGGGAGCTGACTAGATGAGTAGAGAAAAGGTATAAATATGAGAGAAGTTATGGAGGTACAATTTACAAGATTAGACTACTAATTGGATATGGAAGGATGGAAAGGCAGAGTGAGGAACTGAAAATAACCCTATCTTATGAGTAGTTCAGAAAGGAATGATTCTCATGAACTGGTCCTGAGTTGAACCCTCAAAGGATGGGCAAGATTTAGACTGATGAAGAAGCAAGCATTTCCAATCAGGGGACTGGAATGGTAATGGCAAAGTAGATGAAATAGGTAAATTTCACAGAAACCAGGAAAGATTTCACATATATATGCATATTTAAACAACTTAACTGTGATGAAATATATGCCAAATGACTAAATCATAGGATTATATATTCAAAGCTCGAAAGTACCTTAGTACCAACATCACCACCCACTCTACCCCCAGGGACCCTAAGATTTGGGTAAATTAAGTAGCTTCTCTTCTGAAAATGACTGGAAATTTCCTAAAGATGTCACTTCTACCTGACAACATAAAGAGGAGTTTTCTATTTCACACATATTCCTGTTAATGGCATAACACAGGCATTTAAATATCAGACAATACAAAAATTTTTTTTTCCATTGAAGACCAAAAAATGAAATAAAATGATTAGACATAAAGAAAGATCAATTGTTGAACTATTAGAACAGGCAATAGCCAAGGAAGGTTATTGTTCAATTTCTTCCTTTATTTGTTAAGATAGTGTACTTTGTTTTGGAACAATTTCAAAAACAAGACATTATCTCTAAGGTCACCTAAAGAGCTAATTTTCTATAATAATCACCTTATGATGAGGAATTTTCAATGCTGCCCAGCAAACATTATTAAGTGCCTACCAGTTCTTTTCAGTTTCTATCTCCAGACTTTAGCACAGTGTTTTGCATATAGTAAGTGATTAATGCATTCTGAATCATTCATTCATTTATACCACGTACAAAGCACTTGTGGTATATATAGGAATGCAAACATTAAAATAATAATGATAATAATGATGATGATGATAGTTAACATTTACCTTCAAAAAAGCATTTAGGGTTGGGGGGAATACAACCTGTATACAGGAAAATATCATATGGGGTATTTTGTAGAAGGAGAGAATATTAGCAAGTAGAAGGGAAGATCAAGAAGGCTTCTCACCAGAGATAGTGTCTGAGCTAAGCCTTGAGGGAAGATAAGGCCTGGGACAAACAGAAATGAGAAAAGACCGTAGGAAAGGCACGAGGACAACTTTTGTAACTGTATTGACGCAGGCGACAGAAAGTTAAGTTCAGGGAACAGCTAGCAGTTATTTGGCTAAAATGCTGAATGCATGAAGGAAAATGAGGAATAAAGTAGAAAATGTATTAACATAATTTATTGATGATAAAAAAACACGTTTTAAATGTTGAGGAAAGATATGGAATCCTTCACTGATTCTGGAGAATCTCAACACTGGAGAGAGAGCCGGAAAGGACAGTGAAGGATTAAAGACTAGGTGTGTGGGAAGGTTTGTTTACTCTCTGTGTTAACAGAGAATAAAGGGACTAACTCTCTAGAGCTCCCTCTCAAAAAATGTAGAATGAATAGATGAAGAGAAGGACTTTCAACTTGACTCTTAAACATAAGTTCAGATAGTTAAGGTGGAGGGCTCAAATGCCTACATCCTTGTTTTGCATGTTAGTACTTTTATTTTTTTTAATTAAGAGTCCTCCTCTTGATAAGGTAAAAGTGAACAAATTTTTTTTTCACAGTTTTCATATGGGTCAAATCTACTTTTCTAAGTGAATGAAATATTGTTCTTAACAGTAAGATGCAATGGGTTAAATTCAAATATTGTGGTTAAAAAATTTCCTAGAATATTAAAAAAAACAAAACAAAACAACAACACAAAACTTGTTAGGGGCAGCTAGGTGGCGCAGTGGATATAGCTCTAGCCTTGGCGTCAGGAGGACCTGAGTTCAAATTTGACCTCAGACACTTGACACTTACTAGGTGTGTGACCCTGGGCAAGTCACTTAATCCCAATTACCTCACCAAAAAGCAAAACAAACAAACAAACAAACAAATAAAACCAAAGTTGTTCAGGTTTTTACTTTTTCTTTTTCTGTATTTGTTTTCCAAAATATAGAGCCTATGACTTAGTCCCTAGTTAATCAGTTACAAACATTAGATTTAACTTAGCACTATATACCTTGGAACATGACCTTGTAATGTATCAGTCCACTTAAAGTTTTGAATATATCTCAATTTGCTTTCTTGGGTAGAGTTATCCATTGAATTTATGAAACCTGAAAAAAATTTTTCAAAATCTTAGTTTTAAAGAACTTCAGGTATCTTATAGCAAAAAAATTAAAATATTCAGATGGATCCCAGCAAGAAGCCACCAAAACACACACAATTCTATTCCATAGCTTCAATGGTACTATGCTCATACTTACTTTCTCCACACAAATTCCTGGTTGTTTCCTCACCTTGGCCTCATTCTCTGATTACTTCTACCTCACCAGAAACTTAGGTTCCCACCACTAGATTCCCTACTTTTAAGGGATAAGCTTTTGCTTGTTATATTGGGGCCTAGCCTCCTATATCTCTTTCTGGCCTTCTCTCCTCAGCATGCCCCAATGCATGTACCCTTCCATCCTCAGGTCAGCTTCCCAGCATGCATTTATATATTATACTCCCCACTAGAATGTAAGCTCCAGGGGAAGCAAGGTGGTGCAGTGGATAGGGTGTCGGCCCCGAAGTCAGGAGGACCTGAGTTCAAATCCGGCCTCAGACCAAACACTTGACACTTACTAGCTGTGTGACCCTGGGCAAGTCACTTAACCCCAATTGCCTTAAAAAAAAAAAAAAAAGAATGTAAGCTCCTTGAGGTCAAGTCTGCCTTGCTTGCTTGAATTTGTATCCTCAGTGCTTAGCATAGAATCTGACACATAGTAAGCAACATAACGAATACTCATTCTATATCTAATTTCATCTAACTTTCTCTGGCAACAACTTAAATCCAAACGCTCAAAGAGTAAGAAATGGATTTTCAAAATAGTGTTTAAATGACCTCATTTTCCTACCTATCTTACCATTCTTCTGAAATACAACCACAACCTCCATCAGAAGAATAAAAAATTCAATCTTTAAAAGCTCAAGAATTATGCATTTATTCAACAAACTAGACATTATAATATTTGTTTTTAACAAACAGAAAATATGCAACACATATTAGTAAAACTTTAAACATCTAACCTTGCAAAAGAGAAAAGTAGGAATCTGTTGCATTCTTCATCATTTCTGGGTTACAGCTCAAATCAGTGAATAGCTCAAGTAGTCGTGCCCTTGATGATCTCAAATCACTTAAAGAATAGGGAAGAGAGAAAAGCTAAGTAAGCTCTAGCTCTATTATGAAGTCTAAGGAAAAGTAGACAATTTAAAAATATTTAAAAATCCGTCAATTCAAAAAGATAGAAGGCTTGTTCTCATATTTGAAATCTTACGAATTCATATCTTCCAAGAAATTTGGGGTTTTTTGGCCAACAATAGAAATTAAATTTCTAATTTAATATCCTCAGATGATATATATATATATACACACACACACATATATATACACACACATATATATGAATAAAAGCAATCTCTAACCATTCAAAAAAGATAAAAACCAGTTCTAATTAAAAAAAAAAGAATTTTATTGCTAAGATGTCACATTGACAATGTACTGCTGATTTAATTTTAGATAATATACATGACTCTGTTGAATCTTCTAGTTTAGGGACATTTTAAAAACTCCTACTTATACCTGACAAATACTTTAATGGATCCGTGACTGCAGGTGCCTCCAGTGACTACAATTTCAATTCACTCATGCCCGTCCATTCTATCTGATTTGTCCACGTCTACCTGTAAATTTGTAGCAGGAAATTCAACTAATATCCTAAAGGGTTTCCTTTGTTCCCCCTGACAATCCACAAAGACCACTGGAGCTTTCCAGCTATCAACTGCTTATTTCGTGCATCTGCTACATGACTAGCCTTATCTTTCTTTCTGGTCATACATTCCTCTGATGACATTTTTTATACCATTTCTCTTGTACAATCACTAATTTGTAATGTGTTTCAGCCTCCTCCTGTCCATCAAACACCTCTTCACTATTATTTGGGTGGTGCTTAATTTTAATTCTCTGAAGCTCATAATATTCCATAAATCGTAACTATATGCCACCAGAAGATTAAAGATGTGAAATAGGACTTTGTTTCAGAAAGCAAATGACCACTGGAGATGATTTTTACAGTAATGATTTTTCGAGGGCTAAAATACATTTATGTAGCACTAACACTGATGTGTAACACTGATGACTACTTTTGATCCTGAGATTCCTTTCTTTGACTTCTATAATATTCTACCTTTTCAAGCTCATCATTCCTTCTTTGTTTTTTGGAACCTCTTTCCTTCTTCCATCCCCAATTATGGGTGTTCTTCAAGACTCAGTCATAGGAACATGGATTCAGAGCAGAAAGGGACCTCAGAGGTCACCTCAATTCTAGAGGCAATATGGAGCCACTAGAGTTTATCAAGCAGAAGAGTGACATGACCAGATTGATCCTTACAGAAAATCAGCTTGGCAGCAGCAGAGAGGAAGAAGTGGAGTGGGGAGAAACGAGACAGGGAGACCAATGAGGAGACGAACAATCCAAGTGAGAGGTGATATGGGACTGAACTAAGGTGGATGCAGTGTAATTACACAGCTTAACATAGAATCAGAGGATTTTAGAATAGAAATGATCAGATTGATTCTGTCTTTTTTTAATTGATCCTGTTTACAGTTAATTGATAAGTGATGCAGTGGATAGAGTGAAGGACCTGGAGTTGGGAAGACTCATCTTCCTGCGTTCAAATCTGGCCTCAGACACTTAACATCTGGGTGACCCTGGGTAAGTCATTTCACTGTTTGCCTCAGTTTCCTCATCTGTAAAAAGAGCTGGAGAAGGAAATGGCAAACTATTCTAGTATTTCTGCCAAGAAAACCTCACTGGGGTTGTGAAGAGTCAGACATGACTGAAAACAACTGAACAACTGTCTAAGTCGTGGTTCTTTGTCTAGTACTAGGTCTCTGATTTCCAATCAAGGACTTTTATATACCACTATACTGACCTATAAAACAAGATCCTCTTTCTGATTTCTCTATTTCTATTTATTAGAATCCTCATTTTTCTAGTGACTCAGGTGCAAAACTTCAGTTGTTTGACTCCTCAATCACCTGACAGTTAGTCAAGTGCTTTTGATTTTTCCTTTGTAATACTTCTTAGAAGACTTCTTCTATTTATTCCTGTTGCCATCTCCCTAATTCCAGTCTTTTTCATCTCATAACTAGACTTCAACCTCCTAATTAGTACACTGCTCCCCCTCCCTGCCACCAAGTCGATCCTACATCAACATCTTACATACTACTACTACTAAATCAGCCTTCCTAAAACACTGCTTTCGCCCAAATATTTTTCTGTTCAAAGGCTCCTTGTTAACTACAACTCCAACCACATTAGTTTATGCCTTTAAGGCTTTCCACCACAATTTAGCATCAAACTGCTTTTCCAAACTTTACCCCAAAACTTACTTTAAGACTCCAACAAAGTTGGTCTACTTAATTAACTGACCCTATCACATAATGATAGCTAATATTTATATAGTGCCTACTATGTGCCTGGCACTGTGCTAAGCACTTTACAATTATTATCTCATGATAATATCTCATGAAAGTAGGTACCATTATTCCCATTTTACAGTTGAGGAAACTGTCAGGATCCCCATGCCAAGACCACCCCTCTCTTTTACTATTAGGAGACACCCCGTTTTCCAGAGTTAAGGCTCAGCAAGCAAGCCGTGTCCTGAGCTCGGCATAACAACAGGCCTTTGTGGCTCACCCTCTGAATGATCTCAGCCACAGCAAAATCCCAGAATGGTTTCACACCAGCACCAGGTGGTAGCTGAGCTTGGATAAGCACCTGTAGTACCTACGTTCAGGTCATGAAGATCTGCTATTTATCAAATTTGTCTCATTGTTGCTGTTGTCATTCCACTGTCAGGACTACAGCTCACTGCATAGCCGGATTGAGATTGGTCCACACTAAAGTAGGTCTCCTTTAGAGAGGTATTACAGGAGGTCCCAGCACATATGTCTAGTTTCCCTCTTCCAACTGAATGAAGAAATCTTTCTGCTTATAGCCATTGTTATTTTATTTGTTAGAGTTAACTGTGGTTTTGATAATCTGTGTGAGCTCTCTGGTTTTTTTAAAGTTAACAGAGATTGCAAAACCTCTATGACTCTTTGGTCATTTGTTCTGAGGGTTGACAAAACTCAGACAGAGGTTAAGGGACTTGCTCAGGGTCACACTGCTAGTAAGTAGCTGAGGTCACATTTGAATTCAGGTCTTCCTGACTCCAAGTCTGACACTTATCACTTGCTTCATACTTTTTTCCAAACCTCTAGCGCCCAATCTCTGCCTCTCTGCCCAGTTTAAACTTAATATAAAGTCCCTATGTTTTCATGAAGCTTTCTCAGATTACTTTAAAGCTCTATTCTCAACTCATAACACACTGTCTCTGGTAAATTAATCATGTGTTGATTTGTGACATCTTTGGCACTGTTTTCTTCCGTTTAATTTAGCCTTGGTAAGGTAATTTAACTATTCTGGCAAAGTGTAACTTCTCCTATGTAAATAGAGGGGAAAAAAGCCAAAAGATCTCAAAGGCATAAAATTTTAAAATGTGGGAGTTTAACTTTTCACGTGCTGTCTCTTCGACTAAACTGCAATAGTTGAGGGTAAGTACACGTCATATTACTCTATACTGTCCACAACACCTAGCAGAACAAAATGAACAAAGCATAGTAGTTCAAGAAAGGTAGGATCTGATTCAAACTTACTTGCAAATTTTTGAAGCTGCAGGAGTTGTAGCTACGCCATAATAATTAAAGGAGACAGGTGCAGTAGCTTTTAGTGGGTTCCGATGAAACCAGTGTGTCATTTTCCCCAAATGTTTTCTACAGATCTAGGTAAAAGAAACCTAAACACACAGGAGAAAAAAAAAAAGTATAGATCTGAATGTTAATGATGAAACATTTATTTTTTTTCTTTTTTTTGGTGAGACAATCGGGATTAAGTGACTTGCCCAGGGTCACACAGCTAGTAAGTGTCTGAGACCGGATTTGAACTCAGGTCCACCTGACTCCAAGGCTGGAGCTTTATCCACTGTGCCACCTAGCTGCCCCTAATGAAACATTTATAAAGTGAACTCTATACCCATTTTTAGTTTCAAAATGAAAATTAAAAATATGTATTATTTTGTTTTTCATGTTTACAATATACATTTTTGAAACGCTTTTCTATTAAAAAGACTGTATTGTATTTAAAATAGATCTACACAAAATCTGTTGTAGTTTGCAAAGTGATATCCCAGGACCCAGGAAGCAAAAGCAAAAAGTTAGATAGAGAATGTTCTTCCAAATAACCTATAACAACAGATCATATATTACTGTTTTTGGTATTTTTTTCTGGTGAGGCAATTGGGGTTAAGTGACTTGCCCAGAGTCACACAGCTAGTAAATGTTATGTGTCTGAGGCTGAATTTGAACTCAGATCCTCCTGATTCTAGGGCCGGTGCTCTATCCATTGTGCCACCTAGTTGCCCCAAGATATTAGTTTTGATTTAAATTAGACTCCAATAAGAGGTTCCATTAACTGTTTTTCCTGTATCTTACTGATGGCATACGAATCTTTATATTTTCTCTATGATAAACATTTTCCCTTGCAGCAGCAGTAACAAAGATTACCACCATTTAAAACAAATTCATTGAGTTTTAAAAAAAAAATCCTTCCTAAATCTTATATACTGTATCTATAACTTCTAAAAAAAAATAAAAACCTAAATACCTAAATGCACTACTATTTTTTAAAAGACTGACTTCTATATTCTATCATCTGTAAAAGTACATGTCTAAAAGATTCCCTGACAATGAAGAATGTAAAGGGGAGCATGATCAACAGTCATCTTGAAATTAGTCCAAGAATAGTACATAGAAGACATTTGTCAATAAATTCTTGATTCAGAAATATTTACTTCAGTTGGCCTCACTACAAAATGTTTAAAATCAATAATCTTTATTGGCTTTTCTTATTGCTACTAAGATGGTATAACTATTGACTGGCACAATACCAGTTATGGCCGAAGTTTAAAAACAACAAAACTCATTTAAATACAACTTTAAGTTTACAAAATGCTTTCTTCTTAACACTTTGGTGAGATAGATGGTGTTAAATGTTATTGCTCTGATTTTACTGATGAGGAAAATGAGGCTGAGGAAGTGACGCATTCTATAATGCTATAACTTGCCAAACATCACATAGCTAAGTTTAAGATAAGGGATTTGAATACAAAGCTCCTGACTGATTCCATGACCAGCATACTTCCTACTACACCAAAGAACTACACAAAGATGAATTAGAAATCAAATATACTAATCTGTATTACTTTTACCTTTTGCACTGGCTAAAGATAAGGTTTATAAACCAAACAGCTTCAACTGCAACCAGTTTTCTTCCCTTTAAGACAGAGCCTTGTTGCTCCTTTTATCCTTAGTTGGCTATTTATCCTATGTGTTGTAAACATAATTTTAAATGGCAGTATATGTCCTAACACTTTATAACAGGATCATTGACAAAGAGCTCCAAAGGACCTTAAAGGCATCTAGTCCAACCCCCTCATTTTAAATATAAAAAAATTGAGGCATAGAGATCTCTTGTAACTTGCCCCATGTCACACAAATAAGTATCAGAGGTAGGAGTTAAACAGAGGTTGTGACTTGGAATCTGTCACTGTATTGGCTTTCCAATTATTTCATGCCAGAATGACAATATCCATCTCCAAAAATGAGTATTTAAAAAATTTAACTTTTTACTTAACTGATTATCAAAGAGAGGCTGGTAATCTGTGAATTAGATGTTCTTTGGAAGGAAGAAACCCAAGCTGATGAAATATAGGCTGGGCCTCGGATGCTCCTATTCTTAAAAGAATTTCAAAACATTAGAATGGGTATCTGGCCACAATCTTCTTCCCCAGAGATATTTTTTAAAAGGATCACTATCTACCTGTATTCAGGATCCTTCAGGCGTACTCAACTTTAAACAAACCAAATTCAATTAATGAAAGTCAAGATTTACAAAGAAGTTAAAATTAAGAGGACAGAGCTCCTTTAATTTGCAAGCTTTCCTAGTGAGTTTAAAATTAAGTTTACAAAATTCACAGACATCTTTTTTACCACTGAATTTGCCCAGTAAGTTATATAACTACTACAGTCTACTACTCAGTGATTATGATATTTGTCCAGCAATTTTATGATATGACATTTTGGAAAAGGGTTATCACCGAATGAGAGGAAAAGTACCTTCCCAACATACCTCTTCCAGTCAGTCAACAAGATGCATAGAATACATTACTTAAAGTCTTGGTCTATGAAAACATACTTTTTAAATGGTAGAAACTTTCTTGAACAAATTTTGATTTCCTCAATAAAAAGCAAAAATTGTTCCTAACTTAAAAAAACACTTGAATCATACCTTTGAGAACTTCCAACTCACTAGAAACAATCTACTTCTCATAGAGAAATCTCACCTACAACTTAATTGTGTTATTCGTCAATTCAAATACGCATGCCTTCTGATGACTAAATGGATTATGTATACATTTGGCTGTAATAAAATTAGTGCTTCTTCCAATTTCAGGTGGAGTCTTGGAGGGATATGTCCAAAAGATGATCTTTTAATTGAGAGTGGTTCTTAACCTGGGCTTCGACAACTATTCCGATCTAATTCCCATCCTTTGTAATCCTATTTTACTCTCTAACAAGCAAAATTCCGGGAAGGTGATCCATTGGCTTCATCCAGAGGGTCCATGACAACAAAATGGGTGAAGAGCACCGTAAGGAGTGCGGATTCCCTGGCCCAGCCTCCCCAGAACTTTCCCCAAGCTTTCGTCTGTCATCAAGAAATTCTTGGGGCGAGCCGGTCGGTGTGGGGTCGTTTTGGGAGTCAACGCACCTGCCCCTGTTTCTGGGATCACGCTCAGACCCAGAACAAGATCTTCCCCTACGGACAAGACTGGGGGTGGGTAGAAGGCAGAAACATATCGGGGGAGAAGGCTGGGTGAACCCCACGAAGTACCAACTCACCTGAGAGCTGGACCACCACTTCCGGCTTACTCACCTCCTCCTCTTCCCATACCCTCAACAAGTCGGACGAGTTGCGCCTGCGCGATAGGGAGAAGTACACTGTTTTCCTCCCACCTCCCCCAGCACATACAGCAGGACACAGTTTCTCTGTAGGGAGGAGCCGTGGAGTCATTCCAATCGAAAGTCGATAGCATCAACTGCGGAAGGCAGGGGAAGGCTACTGCAAGCCGAGATCACCGTTCGCGAACCTTTAGGAGGGTGCCTTGCGAGCCTCAAGCGACGGGTTCGCAAGAGCCCAGTGTGTAAAGGGGTTAAGGTTGGGAGTGAGGAGTGGAGCCAAAGTGAGGGTGTTTCCTGACTAGAGGCGGGAGAAAAGGAAAGACTTTCCCTAAGACACCCCAACCTTACCGCGTGTGTTGATGGGGAGGGGGGTTTCAATGATTGGGAATGGGAGGGGTGGGCGAGCCCCCCAAAACGGAAAACAACTAATAGACACGTCACACTCACCAGGCTTCTCAGACAACCGTGAAGCAGTTATTCCGGGGAAGTAGACACAATGTCGGTACCCTCGAGACTAAAAGCAATGGGACTACGGAAAAACGAAAACCTTGGGATACTGGGCAAAGATCACGTGGCCCCCGAAGCCATGACAAACTACCTGGCGGAAACCCGCGTCCCTCGGAGATCGATGCTACGGTGGCCCGCGCAGGCCCTCTCTCTCTTACTTCAGGGCTTCGAGAGTCGGGCTCGGGCCTCTTCCTTAGGTCAAGAGCAAAGGAGGAAGAGTTCTTCACGGTTCTCTTCGAGGCTCAGGTGCCTCACTCACAATGGCGGCCGCTGGCTCGGCCGGGCCGCTCCGGGGAGGCGGGGCCAACGCAACCTAACACGGGGGGCGGGGCCTAAGAGGGGCGGCTCCTCCAGTGCCGCAAAGTTTGGCTGTGGCGGCAAATGGGCTTGGGCGGCTCCGGAGCTGGCGGCAGCGGCCACTGAGGCTCTTCCTCGGAGCCCCGTGGATGCTGCGGCGCGAACCCGGGACCATGGCTCCCTAGAGCTGTCAGGCACGGGCGGGTGGGGACTGGACCGGCCATGTCGGAAGTGACCCGGAGCCTCCTGCAGCGCTGGGGCGCCAGCTTCAGGAGGGGTGCCGACTTCGACTCGTGGGGGCAGCTGGTAGAGGCGATAGACGAGTACCAGATGTGAGTGGCTGACCCCGGGAGCTGGGCCCGGCGCGGCCTGCTCCCTTGCTCCCCCCCTTCCCAGACTCCGGGTCGCGGCCTCCGGGGCGGGCTGGCGGCTCTCAGTAGATGCCCGAGCTTTTCCCAAGGGGCCGCCTCGGCCCTTCCTCGAACGGGCCGGGGCCATTCAACAAGTAGGCGCGCCCCGCCCCGCCCTTCTCTCGGGGTAGCTGCCCACGAGCCCCAGCGGGTCCCCCCTCCCGGCTTGCACTGCACCCTCCGCCTGTCTGTCTGCCTCCTTCCTTCCTTTCTCTGCCCCTGCAGGTGGCCGCCCCTGCTAAAGAAAACTTCTGGGCGGCGCATCCCGCTGAACGTCCCCCGCCCACGTCCCGGAGCCTGGATGCCCGTTTCCTGCGGGGCTCAATCCTTGATCTGAAGGAAAAAAAATTTTTAATTTTGAAAAGGAGGTGGTCGCGAGCTTGGCCGGGAGAGCGTCCTGCCAGCAATCGGGGCGTCTCCGGGGGTCCCCCTTCCCCCCTTCTTCTTAGCCTTTCCCGGAGGAGCGCGTTTTCCCAGTACACCTCGCTGCGGTTTCAGTTTCCGAAACTGTTATTTGCTAGGCATCGAGTTCCACATCCCCACACCCTTTCTCTGTTCCTTTGGGTGGAGTCAGCTCCGGATTCGAGGAGGATTGAAAGCAAAAATGCGAATTCTACCCAGCTTCTGACCCACAGCTAGCTCCCTCCCTCCTTCCTTCTCCTTCCCTCATTTGTGGATGAGTTAGAACGTAAGCTTCATGTGAGTAGTAGGAATTGTTTGGTCCCTCTGCCTATTTGTATCCTCAGCTGTAGCCATCCCAATACCGTGCCGAGGCCAAGTAGGCACTTGATAAATGCTTGTTAATGAAGTAGGTAAAAGATAGCTGCAGGGTACAGGTGGGTACCAGCTTCCTGAACACCCCTACCCGGTTCACTTCTTTCTGGTTTTCCGTAAAAGCTTCAGGGATACTTTAAAAATTATTAATAACTTCTGTTTGGCCTCCATTTCCGAATATATTTCTTGCCTATCCCGACTCATTCATCCATCTCTTTAGTAACGGATAATTTTTTCAAAGATATCCAACAAAACTGACCAACACATGAATCTAGTCTTACACTATATGCAATATTGCATATCTCTGCAAAGAAGGGAGAGAAATACGTTTTCTCAGTTGAGGTGGGGTGCTTGGTCACTGAAGTTACACAGCTCTCACAGTCTCTTTTTATTCTCTTCATTTACATTGTTGTGTATTTTGTTTTCCTGGTTCTACTTCCCCTGTATCCATTTTTTAAAAAATGATTTTTCAGGGACATCAGGCAGTAATACACTAACAGACGATTAGAACCCTTTCTAATTCAGATGTGATATTTATATTTCAGTACTTTAGTGACTATATTAGAATGACCTGCCCTCCTCAGTGGAAAGACCTTATGCACAAGATTTAACATCAGTTTTACTTAAGAGAGCTGTGGCAGGCATAGTTTACTTATTTGAAACCTTTTAGCCAGGCCATACTTTACTTATTTGAAACCTTTTATCACGTTGGTGGAATTATTATTATTGTAATTAGAGTTATAGTACAGAAGAAAACTGCACATCACCATGAGAAGCTATAGTAGGTCCTTCTTGAGTGGAAGGATCAGTGTTGTGTGGAATTAAAACAGGGTGCTGTTGTTTGCAAGCTCTTGCTTCTTTACTACTTGGGTGTTGATTCAGTAAAGAAAGTCATCTTTTGTGGGCTAGAAGAATGTTAAATAGTATGTGTGAATGAAATATTTTCTCTTAAGTATCTACTGGAGTAGATTGAAACTTGATGAATGACACTCTGGCGTGGATAGAGAGATTCTGTTTGTTTTACTGGATCATCCTTTATATTTTACCCCCCTAAATGTGCCTGTATCTCAAGTCTCTTCTGTCTGGGCTCTCTTCTTATGTCTCTCTACATTCTCTACTGGTGGACCCACTAGCTCTTCTGTGTTCAATTTTCTCTACATGAATGATTCCCAGATGTATATATCCAGCTGTAGTCTTTTTGGGGGGCTCATTGTTCATCACCAAATGCCTCTTGGACATTTCATTCTGGATGTCTTGTAAGCATCTCAAATTCAACATGTCTGACACAGAATTAATCATCTTTCTCTTCAAACACACCCTTTTTCCAGACTTCGCTGTTTTTGTTGAGAGTATCACTATTCTTCTAGTATCCCAAGTATCAACCTCAGAGTTGCCCTCAGTTCTTCACTTTTCCTCATCCCACATATCCAGTTGCCAGGTCTTGTTCATTTACTTTTAAGCTATTTCTAACATCCATATCCTTCTACTCATATGGCCCTCATTCAATTCATCATTGATTCTCACCTGTACTATTGGAGTAGCCTCCAAATTGTTCCTCCTACCTTGAGTGCCCACCTTCTATCCCAGTTCATCCTCTACAAAGCTGTCGTTGGGATTTTCTTAAAGAATAGATGTAACCATGCTTTGTAAACTCCACTGGCTCCCTATTTCCTCTAGGATCATACAAACTTATTACAGACTCCTCTGGCATTTAAAGCCCTTCACTATTAGCTCCAACCTAGGCATAACATACATCACTTTTTTTAAAATACCGGACATCACATGGCACGTATCATTGAATTGTTCCTCACACTATTCCACCTCCTGTCATCTCAGGTCATTTGTCCATTATGCCTAAAACATACTTCTTCCTCACTCCCACTACTTAGAAACCCTAGTTTCCTTTGAAGCTCAGCTCAAGTATCACCTCCCCTACATGAGACCTTTCCTGGTATCTCCAGCTGCTAGTGTTTCCTTCCCCTAAATTACCTTATAATTTGTTTTAATTGGCATAAATGTAAATTATAATAATTTGTAATAGGTTGAAAAACATTGAAATGCTGGACACTCTGCTAAATGATAGGGATAAAAAAAAAAGGCTAAAATGGACCCTTTTCTCAGGTAGTTCCCATTCTGATGAATGAGACCACATATAGATAACTAGATATACACAGAATAAATGGGAAGTAATCTCAGAAGGAAAGTCCCTAAGACCTGGGGGAACCAGGAGAGGCTTCCTGCAGAAGGTGGGATTTGAGCTGACTTTTATGTATACAGGTTGTCTCTCCTAATAGAATGTAAGCTCTTTGAGGACAAGGGCTGTTCCTTTTTCATCTTAGTATTCCCAGCATAGTGACTGGCACATGGTAGTTTAACAGATGTTGCTTCAGTGAATGAAATGATAACAAATCTACAAATATTTGATAGACCTTTCTGTAGAAAAAGGAATAGTAAATTCTGAATGAAGTGAGTAGATTAAAGTATTCCATTCATCTCCAGAGTAATCAGTTTGGCACTTTTTGCACTTAATTTGATGTGGTCTTCTAAACACTTAGTCTGAGGATTCAAATATACTCCTTTGTTTTCTGTGTTTAAACTAAATATCATCTACCCTAAAATCCAAAGCTTCCTTTCATTGGTGTTCAGGAGCAAAATGACCAGATCGGAAGCAGAAAGACCTGAGTTTAGATCCAGCCACTGATACTTATTCCCTGTGTGACTTGAGGCTAGCTACAACCTCTCTGGACCTGTCTTACTTTTCTATAAAATAAGAGTTGGGTTAGAACAGAGATCTTAATTGTGTGTGTGTGTGTGTGTGTGTGTGTGTGTATGTGTATGTATGTATGTATGTATAACAGACCCCTATGGTAGTCTAGTGAAGCCTATAGCCCTCATAGTACTATTTTTAAATAATTGAAGGAAATGCTAAATTTCAGTTAGAAGTTAGTGAAAATAAAGGTATTATTTTTTCCTATCAAAGTTCATAGAATCTCTGAAATCTATACATGCATCTTTTTGGGGTTCATGGACCCCAGGTTAAGAATCCCTTGGACTAGGTGTCTAAAGTTAAACAGCTTTTAGCACTCAGATTCACTCAATAGCAATTAAAGATTTTTTTTATCCTAATAGGAGAGGAAAATTGACTATAGGAACCATGTATCCAGATTAGAGTTTTGAGTATTTCAGCATGATCCAGAGAAGTGTGACGTAATGTATTTTTAAAAATCTTTTGGGGGGCAGCTAGGTGGCACAGTGGATAGAGCACCAGCCCTGGAGTCAGGATGACCTGAGTTCATATCCGGCCTTAGACACATAACACTGACTAGCTGTGTGACTCTGGGCAAGTCACTTAACCCCACTTGCCTCACCAAAAAAAAATCTTTTGGTTTCTAATGCTCTCCTATAGAAAGGGAAATTCCTTGGCTTCCAATACCCATGCTGGAACTTTAATTGGAATTTTCCTTTAAATCAGAGAAATCATGGAGACTTGTCTATTTCAAGTTCAAATAAAAACCTAATGAGACTGAATTAAATTTTTGTAAGCATTCAGACTCCCTACAAAAGGAAATCAAGAATTGAGAAAATTATAAAATAGATATTGAGACAAAAATGTTACTTTGGTTATGTTGTATAACTTGAATTCTCATCACTTGACAGTCTCACACTGCTCATTGTTAGTTTAGTTAAATCTTCCTTTTTCTATTTGAATTTTTATTGAAATAATCATTTCCCTATGTATCCATCTCTTCCCACGCCCCACTCCCAGCCATCCCATATACTGAAGAACGAAACAAAAATATTTCAGCATAATCAATACAACAACCAAGTTTGAAGTCATACACTTGTAGATGCATAGTTGTCTGCATCTACAAAAGAGAGAAGAAAGTGCATTCTTATATCTCCAGGGTCAAGCTTAGTCATAATTTCACAGTATTTAGTGTTGATATTTTGTTGTTTCCATTTACATTGTAGTCTTTATGCATATTGTTTTCCTATTTCTCCTTACTTCAATGCATCAGTTTATATAAATCTTCCCACACTCCTCTGTTTTCTTCAATATCATTGCTTCTTACAGTGCAGAAATATTCTTTATGTTCACATATCGTAGTTTAGCTATTCTTCATTCAGTAGTCAGTAGTAGTTCTTTACTACAAAAAGTGCTACTAAAATATTGTTATATATGGGACTTTACTTTTTATAGTTGATTTCTTAGGAATATTTGCATAGTTGTATGATCTCTGGGTTAAAAGTCAAGAACATTTTTAGCAACTTTAGTCTTGACTTCTTCTTACCCCATTCTTCTAATCCTACAAAGAGAGGAAAATTTTTTTTGATGTGTCCCATGCTTTTGTGCCCTATATTTTTTTTGTAATATTTAGTGAATTTAATTTACTATATTAAAAGGACCAGAATTTAAGAATACCTCAGAGGACCAGATCATGTCAATTGATAACAGTGAATTTTTTTTTTTTTTAATCCATAAGGTCAGTCAGTCAATGAACATTAAGCATCTGTTATGTGCTAAGGCACTGAGGATTCAGAGAAAGGTAAAAGACGATCCTTACTCTCAAGGAGCTCACAGTCTAATGGGGGAGAACACATGCAAGCAGCTATGTACAAACAAGCTATACACAGGATAAATTGGAAATAATCAACAGAAAGGAAGCATTCAAATTAAGGAGGACTAGGAAAAGCTTCCTGTAGAAGTTGGGATTTTAGCTGGAACTTGAAGGAAGGTAGGAGGCAGAGATGACAAAGGAGAGCGTTGTAGGAATGGGGGCCAGGAGAAAGTATCTAGAGTTGGGAAATAGAGTGACTTATTTGAGAAACAGCTAGGAGAGCAATGCTACTCGAGTGCAGAATATGTTATTAAGGAGGAGGTAAGATAAGGAGGAGGTAGGTGTAAGAAGACTGGAAAAGTGGGGAGGGGTCAGGTTATGAAGTGCTTTGGACACCAAAGAAGGGATTTTGATCCTAGAAGTGATATTGAGTTACTCAGTTTTGAGAAGACCAGTGTCACAGTCAGATCTGCACTTGAGAAAGATCATTTTTGATTGGTGGATAGACTAGAGTTTAGGTGTGAAGTGATGAGGGCCTACTCCAGCGTGGTGACAGTGTCAGATGAGAGAATGGGACATATGTGAGACATGTTATGTGTGTAAAATTAACAGGTCTTGGCATCAGTTTGGATATGGGAGTTGAGAGATAGTGAGAACTTGAGGGTGGCATCTGGGTTATGAGCCTGGATGACCAAGAGGATGTTGGTACCCTTGAGATTAATGAGGAAGTTTGGAAGGGGGGAGGTTTTAAGGGGGGAAACAAAAGAGTTCAGCTTTGGACATGTTAAATTTAAAATGTCTACTGAACATCCAGTTTGAGATGTCTGAAAGGCAGTTTGGAAATTTGAGACGGGAGGCCAGCAGACAAGTTAGGACAGGATAGGTAGGTTTAAGATATCTAGATTTAAGATTTAAGGCATAGAGACGATCATTGAATCCACAGAAGCTAATAACATTGCCAAATGAAATAAAATGAATAAAACAAAGAAAATAAAGTATGATGAAAAATTTTACTTAAAAGTAAAATTATAATATGTTTGTGTCAATTGATGTGCCTGGCCCTTCTGTTATTTATGATTAGTTGGTGTTAGATCTGAAACCTATATAGATTGAATATAGTCAATAAAGATTTTCTATATTTAGTGTAATGAGCTTTATGCCTGATTTTGAACCTTTTGTGGGTTAGGAAAAGATATATAAATCCCATCTTACAATATTCCCAACAAGTAGATCTGAGATATGATACCTTTAATTCAGATTTTTATTAAAAATGTCATTTCAGAATACCCTTCCCATTTCTTGACTGTCAAAAAAATTTAGACTAGTGACACAGTGTTTGTGATACTCCTCATTTAAAAGTACCTGCATACCTTAGTACTATGTTTAGGTGATGGTGATAGCCTAAAATTTTCACAGCCAATTGAAGTCTAGTTTATTTTCCAGGGGAGTTTATAAATGTGTGTTACATTTTCTGTAATTGAAGCTGGTAGCTATTGGATGTCTTTGTCCAGTATTGACTAGAAATAGAGTAACACTGTCAGTTAACTTAAGACTAATAAAGGGTCTTAAAATAGCAGTGACTTTACTGGTAATATCTTCTTTTATTGTCACTTAAATGTGAACTAGTAAAATGTTGTGATAAATTCTCTATTATCATGGGATCACAGTAATGTTTGTTGAGAACAGATCTAGGTTAAGTTGGTAAATTTTTATCTTTGTAAGTATGATGAGATCCTAGATGGCAGAGCGGAGAGAGTGCTGGACTTGGAGTCAGGAAGACCCAAATTACAGTGCTGTCTTCCACACTTACCTGCTCTGTGACCTTGGGCAAGTCACTGAACCACCCTTTGAATCTCACTTTACTCTTCTGTAAAATGAGAACAGTAGCTCCCACCTCACAGGGTTATTGTTGGGCCCAAGTGAGATAATGTGTGTAAAGGACTTTGCAGTTCTATAAAGTTCTACATAAATTATTAATGATATTAGCTATTGTTATTATTCCTAATTTTGTAATGCTTTGTCAGCTCTTATTTCTCAGGGTTTGATTTGTGTCACATTGTTTCACTTAAAATATCTTCTGAGTACAAAAGAAGAATAGTACTGAAACTTTTTTTCTCTTATAGATTAGCAAGACATCTTCAGAAAGAAGCTCAGGCTCAACACAACAATTCAGAATTCACAGAAGAGCAAAAGGTAGTATTTAAAAACCCTCTAAGTATAGAAGAATCCACGTGAAGTAATGATATTTAAAACAACAAAATTAAGTGTTGTGCTTTTGAGTAAAAATGATGCTCATATTTTCTCTTTTGGACTGTGAACTATTAAGAGTAATTTAGACAAGAAGTGATTCCTTTAATGTTCTATACATTTTAGCGCGTATATAGTCACTCAGCTAGGGCTGTACTAACTATAGACAGATCAAATATGGTCCATATTTGGTGGAGAGCATCTGTGCTTTGGAGGCAGAAATAAAGGATTGAATGAATCACTTGCTACTATCTTTTCTTTTCACTAGAAATTGGCTAAAGTAAAAGCAGTGTGATATGGTAGAAAAACAGCACTGGATTGGAGCCTAAAATCTGGGTTCCAGTTCTGACTCAGACACTTACATATCTGTTTTACTTTGGGAAAGTCATTTCATTTCTAGATCTCAATTTCCTCATTTGTAAAGTAAGGAGGGTTGTACTGTGTGATTTCTAATTCTAGAATCATCTGAACCTAAGCACTCTGGGTAATTACTTTTTACCTTAATATTTTTTTAACTACCAGCTTTCCTCTCTCATCTCACATGGTTGTGTGCTCAAATTCAGGTTGGGTTGGGGAGGATTATTAGTTATCTGCACATTCTCCTAAAGCTAAGTGATAGTGTAAGTATAATAAGTTCACTGCCCTGAAAGTTTCATATGTCTCCTTAATGTATCGAGAAGGGGAGATATTCCAAAGATTTTTAGACTCAAAATTAGGGCTGGTAGCAGTTCTTAGGGATCATTATTCCAATACTCTTCTTGATGCATTTATCCCATCTTAAAACTTCCCCAGCAAGTGCTCATCCATTCTCTTTTTGAACATGTTCAATGACAGGAAATACTTTACAAGGTGATCTATTCCATATTTGGACATCTCTGATTATTCTTCCTCCCTGTAATTCCCACACTGGGGAAAGATGAAGAAGAGCCTTGTATTTTATTCCTGTTATTTAAGGATATCTTGCTTTATATTTACCTTGGATTGTGTAAATTAAAAATTCTATTTGTAGAATTTTCACACTCAACCTTGGTTATCACTGTAGTAACAATGATTCAATCAGTGAACAGTAATGCATCTAATAAAATTGAACTACCTAGTAAGCTTCAGAAAAAGTACACTACAAGTACTGACTATATTTTATTAAAATTCTTATGTCAGCATTTATTTGTTCATGTTTGAATTTGTATTTCTAAATAGATGTAAAAAGCTTATTTCATTAAAAAATTATTTGTGCTTATTTGACTTATATGTGAGAGTTTGGGAAATAATTATTTAGTCTATTAAGATTGGAGACTTCTGAATAAGAGATTAGTTGTATTATACAACATGGCTTAAGCATATTTGCCATTTAAAGTGACTTATCATGGAATTGATTTGCTCATATGAAAAAAGTTGCATTTTCCCAATTTTTAACAAGACAGATTTTATCAGTATAGTAGAGTGAAAAAGAGAACTGAATTTGGGGTCAAAGTAAATGTACCTGGGCAGAACTCCTGCTCATTACCTCTATAGGGCTGTTACAGATAAGTTTTCTTATCTGTAAAATGGGAAAAGAGGTTGAATCTACATGACTTCTGCTAGTTCTATATGGAATTCTAACTCTAAATCTATACACATACAATCTGTTAGCATCATTTTTGTCTGTAACATCAGCACAGTTGTATAAATGTAAATTTAAAGAAAAGTGGTCTTATTTTCTTACACATGAGAAAGAATTGCTAGTCTTTTATTTGTCTTTTTAACAAAACAAAGCTTACCACAAAATTCTGGTTTTCAGTTTTACAGTGGGTAATTGCTAGAAATTTAAAGTTGAATTCATACTAAATTGCATAGTTTAAACTGATTCATGATATTGCAGCCTTGTTGTTTTTTTTTTAAATTTGGTTAGGCAGTGGGGTTAAAGTGACTTGCCCAGGGTCACACAGCTAGTAAATGTTATATGTCTGAGGCCGGATTTGAACTCAGGGCCTCCTGACTTCAGGGCCAGTGCTCTATCCACTGCACCACCTAGTTGTCCCCAGCTACTCTTTCTTTAACCACTGTACTCTGACATTCTTCCACCTCCTACCAGAACTTAGATTCTGCCCATGGGAAACTGGATTTTGATTGTGAGCTTTTACCTTATTTGCGTGGAATCAGGCTACCATATCTCTTCCCTGGCCATTGCCAAACCACATCTTCTTATGCTTTTCAACTCAACTCCCCTGAGGTGTTATTGCTTTCCATATAGGAATATAAGTTCCTTTAGCATAGGGACCGTCTTGCTTGTTTTTTTTGTATACCCAGGGCTTAGAATGCAATGAAGTACTTAGTGATTTTTCTTTCCTTCATTCTATTATTACCTCTGTCCCTTGTCATTTAGGAATTGTCTCCCTTTTCATATTTGTGAGTAATACCTCCTTTCATTTGCAATTTTTAAAAAATGATTTAACCTTTTATATTTAGATCATATCCATTTGGAGCTTACTGTGCTGTATTTTGTAAGATGTTATTCAAAGACTAATTTTTGCCAAACTGCTTTCCTGTAGTTCTTGTTAAAATAGGAAGTCCTTGCCCTAGTAGGTTGTGTTCTCTTGTTCATGGAACAATAGGCAACTACTGTGTTTGATTGCTTTTAGGTCTTTTTTATCTAGTATATTCTAAGAATCAAATTCTCTATTTTTTTAGACACTACAAAATATTTTGAGCAGTACTGGTTTATAATATAGTTTGAGATATAGTAATATTAGATTCCTTTCAGGCCTACATTTTTTCATTATTTCCTCTGTGATTTCTTTCTCTTTTTTTGTTCCTCCAGATGACTTTCATTGTTATTATGTCTAGTTCTAAAAAGTAACCCTTTGTTCTTTTTAATGATGTGGCATTAAATCTGTTCATTTTTTTCAGTAGTATCATTTTATTATATTGGCATAGCCCAACTATGAAAGATCTTCTGTTAGTTAAGTCTTTATTTCTATAGAAGGTGTTTTGTAGTTGTAATTCATGTAAGTCCTGAGTGTTTGGGTAGATTATTAATAGCTAATTTGCATTCTGTACAGATAAGAGCATTTTTATGAATAGCTTTTAGTAGTAGATATTTGAAGAAGTGGGAGCACAGGGAAAAATTATTTTAAAATCAATTTTGGAGGTTGTAATAAACAACTGCCCTTGCCTTTTCAAATTTGAAATACTTCAATATTTTCAATCTTTTAAGATTAAGTCCTACAACGTTATACTGTATGATTTTTACATTTTTTACATTCACACTAATTTTATTGCAATGCTACTTTGTTGTGTTATAGAGTGTTTTTTATAAGGTGTCACCATGACCAGCAAATATAGCTAGGCATGAATGTTAGTAGAGGATAGCCATGTAACTTGTATCAGCAGGTCGAACTTTTGCTGAATTGTGATATTAACTTTACCAAGTCCTTGTGGGTACATGACAGAGGAGATAAAATCTCTAAGTGCTTAAAATATAATGGTTTTTGTTTTTTTTTCTCATCATCTTCCACTTAGTAGTTGAATGGCCATGTCTTTTTGTTTCAACATGACTAATTTAATTTTATTTAATCTTTATGAGCTAGAAAGACTAGTCCTTTTGTCTTTTTTTGTCAAGTTTTACCTGAAGCAAACAGAGACCTAGGATTCCAGAGTTCATCAAGAGAATATAGGGAAGGGCCAACCTTTTTTCATGATCCATTTTAAAAAAATTTTAGTAGTACTGAGTTCCTCTATTAGTACTGTCGTGCATTCACTGAGCAATAATTTCATTTTTCTTTTATTGGACATTTTAATATCAGGTTTTCCAAATGATTTTTTATTTTCACTTTCCCCTGTGGTAACTTAGCTGATAAATATGTTCCTTTTGACATATATGTTTATATAATTCACATTATCAGTATTCTTGAAGATATTACTCTGTATGAGATTTCCTGAAGTGAGACCTCTTGTAGAATAATGAATACAGGAGTTAAAATTTTTAGTTCATTTTACATTTGTTTTTAAGGTTTATAATTTGTTAGACAATACTTTAACTTATTCTAGTGGAGACCTATACGTGTCAGGAATAGATGTCATTAAATGTTATACAGAATTTGTAGATTATAAAACAAAGTGGTATATAAGCAGAACTTCTGAAAAGTGAACACCTTTAGTGGATTTTTTGTTTTTGTTTTTGTTTTTAAGACTAGGGTCTCCCTATATCACCCAAGCTGAAAATGCAACAGTCACTCATGGGCCCATTTCTGATTGGCATGGAAATTTTGACTTGCTTTGTTTTTCTGACCTGGGCTAGTTTGCCCCTCCTTAGGCAGCCTGGTGGTCCTCCACTTCCAGGGCTTAAAAACCATATTATTGTTAGACTCAGTGCAGGACTCAATGAATTTTAGTTCAACTGCAGCTTAGAACTCCCAGGCTTAAACAATCCAGCCTCAGCGTTCCCTAGCAGCAGGGACTATAAGCAAATGTCACCATACCTGGGTAGTTATTACTTTGTATTAGCATACATTCCCTCAAACTTGGTCTGACATTGAATATTCATTTCTTGGTACATTTATTCATTGTACATTTATTGCTTCCCTGACAAATTGTCCCACTTTTCAAGAGAGTCACCTTGGGAGAGCTCAGTCTGTGTGATCTCTTGTCAGAATGGCCAGTCTTCTTCAGGCAGAAGGTAGGAATTGACTTCTTGTCAGACTATTACCCGGGCAAATTAAGGATTGTAGTCTGGAAAGGAATTTAATAGCCAGATAACCTAATGACGAACCCATAGAAAATTATACTTTTTGTCACTTGCTCATGCATTTGTCTATTTTGAGATGTAAAAATGGTCTACAACAGTATTGGTTGTGAGTAAGTTAATTGGGTAGAAAAATCAAAATAACCAGGATTTTCACATACTACATGCCTTGCTTCTTGCCGAATTCTTCAACAAAATAGGTACGTAAACTAATAGTGAGGAGTGT